TTGATCCACGGAGGAAGCAACCTCGAAGGCGACTTGTGGGCTTTCGACGCCACATCCGAAGCATGGACCCACACGGTGACGGCCGTGACGCCGGCAGCTCGCGCTGCACATGCGGCGGGCTGGGATCCTACCAATCAAGCACTTTGGGTGCATGGCGGGCACAACAGCCAAGCAAAGACTTGGTTCCGCGACGTGTGGAGATTTCAGTCTGGCGCTTGGACGCTCGAGTTTGACGGTGCCGGGCCTTGCGGAAGGCAAGCACACGTGGCTGTTTGGGTGTCGAGCACGTCTTCTCTTTGGGTGCACGGCGGCTGGACCGGCAGTCGCCGCTTGTCAGACTTGTGGAGCTACAATCACCAGGCTCACGGATGGCAGGAGCTGGCTCCCGTGGCACCAAGCGGAGTGCCACCGGCACGCTCGCATCATGTTGCGGTGTGGGATGGGACCGGCCAGGCACTCTGGATGCACGGAGGCTACGGTGACTCCTTGCTCGGAGATCTCTGGACTCTGGCTGCTTCCAGCCTCAGTTGGACTGAAGTGGTCTCTGATGGAGGCCCAACCGCAAGGTCAGGCCATGCTGCGGTGTGGGATGACGCCAACCGCAGGCTCTGGCTGCACGGCGGCAACGACGGCTTCCTGAAGCGGGAACTCTGGAGATACGAGACCGGCAGCAACATCTGGAGCCTGGTTGCAGAACATGCAGGTCCTTCAGGACGCTGGTCTCATGCAGCTGCCTGGGATGGCCTCAACCAGGTCATCTACATTCACGGTGGGTACAATAGCAGTTTGTGTGGAGACCTCTGGAGGTTCTGGGCCACAACAACGTCCACGACGTCCTTCAGCACGAGCACCGTGACTTTGACTTCCAGCAAGTCAAGTACCACAAGCAGCACATCAGCAACACACACGACATCCCGGGACACATCTAGCAAAAGCATTCCTGTCATGTCCAATCTTGTCGCGACTGTAGAAACGGCCGATCGTGTCGTGGCCTGGGTCTTAATTGTCATCTCGTGTTGCATCCTTCTGACATCTTGCGGCTGTTGGATTGTGAGACGCCATCCTTGTCGTGTGGTGGTCGTTCCTTTCGTGTATCACACGGGGTGCTTGTCCGAGCCACAGCCGTCGAAGCTGCCGAACAAGAAAGAGCCAAAGTCAGCTCCAGCTTTTGCTGGAACTTGCCACAGATCACCGTGCCCGCCCCTGATTATTCGCCGTTGCTTCAGAGGTTCTCCTGCGACTGCCCGCAGGATAAGGCTGGTGCCGTGGCCACCAGTGTTCCCACCAACAGCAACCCCGCGGCATCAGTGGATGGAGCCGCAGCCGTCACCCACACTCCCCCGCCTGACACCGTCTACATGCTGTCGATCGTGTCAGGCCTGTGAGCACCACCAAGAAGGCCTCGCGGGCCAAGGCCAGGTCCCACAGCCAGCGCCAGAGAAGCGAGGACGGGGACCCCGACCTTCCTCTCCAGCTCCCAGCTTTCCGCGCCTGCAGAGATTCAGCGCACCGGCGCGCCACTCCCGGGCCCACAACCCACGCTCCACAGTCACTCTTCACAGAAGCAAGCCACGACAAGAGCTGGTCCCAAGTTCGCATTTGGGCCTGGCCCTGGAGAAGGTTATGCAAGCAGACAGACTATTGCAGCGTGACACATTGAGCCTGACCCCGTGCAGCAGACGCTTCGGATTCCGGCAAGCCTCCATCTCAGACATACGTGGATCAGCTTTCAGCAGCCCGCCGATCTTCCCCGCGGTCGAACGTGGTGGAACCCCTCAAACCCCCGGCTCTAGCTCCGACAACAACGGTTTCACACAGCAGAACCCCACCCCCGCCTCCGGCTCGCCGCTGGAGGAGTTCGATAAGCAGAGACACACGGGCACAAGAGCTGAACGAGCCATGAGTCGCGAATCAGAGGCGGGACCGAAGCCGCGAGGCCGCGCCTGCAAGGACGGCGGCTGCAACCGTACGGGCCTCGTTACTGAGTAACAGTGGGAATTGTTCAGAAGTTCAGCAATTGTCAAGTTCGGGCCCAGGCTCCTGAAACCTTTGGAAGCCTGGCGCTGATCCAAAACATTCTTGAAGAGTGCCTTGGTTGCAGCTCATGTCCATAATGCGAGTGGAGCACCAGCAGCAAGGTGCAGCACTACGGTTACTGTGGTTATTGCAACCACGACGATCATGCTAATGATAATGCTGATGGTGCTGATGAGGATGAGGATGACGAGGATTAATTATGGTGAAGATGTGAAAACATATCATGTCAGGAAGATGATCACGATCAGTGGCAGTGACACTGTCATTATTTTGTCGGTGTTGTTCTCGTCATTTGTTTGACTAGCTCCTGCGTAACAGTCTACAGAACAGTGGCATGTTCAGCGAGACAGTCATGGGACGGCTCACGATTTCAAGTTGTGTATGTGAGGTTTCGCTTGGCCCGCCCCTGCACCCAGCAAAACAGGGCAAGGGCAGGGTGGAATACCAGACAGGTCAACAAATGAGGGAAGAGGCAAGCTGGAGAGAAGGTTTCCGGGCAACTGTGCCAGAAAAGGAGCGTGCCTTAAACAATGGCACGGGCACAGGCAAAAACCAGCAAGGTTTCCGGCCGTTCTCATGCCTTGGCATTCCTCCCTATCCAGGTCACTTCTTCCCTCGAACTAGCAAAGCCAGCAGGAGTCGAATGATCCTTGTGCCAGCCGCGAACGGGGGACTGCAACATGCCAATCGAAATCGCCAAGATCTCTTGGAAATACGACACAGGTTAGTTTTCTTCGGGCAGATTTTTGATTGATCGAATGTGGGGTAAAATAAAGAACTTCGGGGCCAAACAAGGCTTACGTGCCGTATTACCTTGTTTGTTTATGCATTGAGTTCCCCTGTCATTACTGATAAGTCCTATTGTTGTTGCTATTGTTGTTTGTTCGTAGTCTTACGCGTTCCTGGCATGATTTGTTCCTTGCTTTCGACTCCTCTTTGGCAGGGACTTTGCACCAAGTTTGACCATGCTCGCCTTCAGAACCCTGAAGACAGGCGTGCGTCGTCGCCTCACTGTCTTCGGCATCTTCAACACCCACTTCGCTTCAGAGTTTCACATCTTGGCACTCATTCCAAAGGAGGATGGGAAGTCCGACCAGAAGGACGGCTTTTGGGTTTGGAACGTTGTTGGGTGTAGCGCAAGGATGATTGTACAGGGGGTGTGGGGACACTTCAATCATGCCGGTGTTTTATGATAATATCGTTCAGACAAGCAGGGCTTAGCTTCTGGGAGGCCTCGAGTTAAAGGGTTTAGATCAAGGCTAGGTGTTGAAAAGAATATTCGGCCCCCCTGAGTCTCACAGGCTCTGAAGCCCAAGCTATCGGGCCGGGAGATTACAGGTCCAGAAGCTTGGAGGGTAGGATCGAGAAGCTGGAGGTGTACCTCAAGTCCAGCAGGGTGGCACTGCTAGATGTTCATATTGAAGATAAATCTCTGCAGCGGAATACCGTAGCACAACATCAATACCGACGCCAACAGCTGCTGATTTTGAGTTCCTCTTTTCTGCTGCTGCTGCGGATGGGTTGGGCACGGTCATGGCAAGCGCGGGATCCGCGTTGCACAGCTTGGCAACCCACAGCTTTCGGCCTCGGCTCGGCGGATCCGCGGATTCTGCTTCTCTTCGCCTTGTTCCGAGTGCTCGCATCCGTTTGTCTAGAAACTGGCACTGGAAGACTGGCAGGGATTGCAGGGCGAGGGGCTCACAAATGCTCAAGCCTAAGACCGAGTCATGAACACGTTGCGCCCGAAATCACGAACAAATCAATCTTTCCAAACTGAATCTACTCCCCAACCTCTGAACAGTCTTGTTGGGGATTCCGTGCTTGAGAAACCAAAGTAGGTCCTTACCACGACAGGGTTTAGGTGCACACTGACAAGCTTTCCAACCACAACGACAAGCTTTATTCTCACGCTCACAAGTGTTTAGGCTCAACGTAGCTCAACCCTAGCAGTGTGTACTCGGGTGGACTTGAAAGTTTTGAGAGCCTAATCGATCATACACACGGTTAGCATGTACTCGTAGCTCAACTTCATTCAGTGTGCGTCTGTCAGCGGGAAGCACCATTTTGCAATTTTGACAGCCCAAATCCTCCAAAATAGTGATTCCCCGGCATGTAAGCAGGGCGGGAATCGCAATTTTCACACTTTGTTGGCTCAGATTTTCCAAAATGGTGATTCCCCCGCATGTTTGGGGAGGGCATCCTAAACGCCCGAAAGAGCCCGAAATGAGAAAATCAACGTAAGTAGCATTAGAAGAATTCCTTGAAATCCGAAATACTGTAAAAACGTAAGCAAGTCCCCTGCGAAACACACGTAGAATCACAAAAGAACCTATATCGTAGACTGGAACACATAAAACCAACATCAATAATCCCTGACTAACCCGATGGACTTCTCCGTGGATGTGGCGAGTCCCCTGGTGGATGTGTTGGATGTTCTCGTGAATCCATTCATCGTGCCCACGAAACAGCCCGAAATGCGAAAATCAACGTACGTAGTATTAAGAAACCTCGAAAAAAACCGAAACGCTTTAAGCTTATCATCCTGTGAAGCTTGAAGCGATTTGAAGCGCATAAATGCGCCTCAACTTCGAACCCCAAACCCCCAAACGAGAACTTCAGCGGGCTCTACAACCCAAGCCCCATTCACCTAAACCTTTAACGCTGGACCGTAGCACCCTCGTCACACAGAAGATCAAGAATCCGAGCCCTCGAATTCCCGAACTTGCGAACCGCAACGAGGTGTAAATATGCCACTGACGTTGCAGCAGCCTAGCATGACAGTAGGGCAGAAGAACATGCTCGCTGCAACCGCTGTGGCTTTGTGACAGGGCGCCCTCGTTTTGAGGCAAAAAGCTACCTTGCTTCGCCAGCGCTGGCGGCTGGTGCTTTTGCATGGCAAGCGGAGCTGGGACGGACGCAGCCGACCGCTGCCGCGCTTAAACAGCGCTGTGCCAAGCGCCTTCACAACCACTTTTCCTTGCGCGCCCGCCGAGGCCGGCGCTTGGCCTACAAGCCCTACCACAACTTCGCCTACAAGCTTTGCACTACGAGAACAGTGGCCAAGCTGGACACCGGCAGGTATGGAGTTCCGCGTACACCGGAGAGCCCGACCCCTTCGAAGACTACCAGCAGCGTGCCTGGGATCTCTTACATGGCAGAGGGCCGGATCAGCTCCAGCTGGCCACGCCGGTTCATTTCAGAGCTGGCTTGACAGGCACGGCTTACGAAGCTGTGCGAAAGCTTGCACACGACAAGCTGAAGACCTCCGACGGCAACGTCGCGGATGCAGGCATGAAGCTGCTGCTCCAGACGCTCAAGGACAGCATCGCCGTGGAGGCCCCGGTGACGGTGACTGAGTTGTTCCTGAATGCCTTCTACAGCCCCGATGTTTGGAGGCAGCAAGTCGAGACGATGCAACAGTACATATTGAGAAGGGAGCAGGACATGAAAAGACGGGAAGAGGTCTTGCCTGGAAGCGCTATCCCCGACCACCTCCGTGCGTTTATGTTGCTCGTCTTCGGCGGCCTCGACCGTGGAGAACTGATGGCTATTTTGGCCAGCGTTGGCAACGACTCTGACTTCAAGAAGATCGGCCATGCCCTTCGAATCCAGTTCCCGAACAGTGCCAACAAGCCGGTGCACAGACGTGACTACCTTGGTTGTGGGAGGCCGAGTGCACCTTCGAGCCCTCACCGCTCCCGGCTTAGGCCTCCGAAGGGAAAGGCAAGGGCAGGGGACACTTTGCCTACGCTGGAAGAAGAACGAGGACTACGATCAGGACACGCCGCCTAAGACGACGCCGCAGACGGCCCGGACATGATGGACGAGACCTACCAGGCCGCGGGCGATGACGAGCAGGCGGTCATAAAGGCAACGATTCAGGACTATGACGTCGCCGAGGACCCTGAGCTCGCGGAGGCCTACGCGACCATCTTGCGCAAGAATGCCAAGAAAGGACAGCTCTCGGGATCTCTCGGGAACGGAGCTTCCTTAGCATATCCCTTCCGAGCTCAGGGTGAGATTGCCTTTGACCAGAAGGGCAACGACCCGAAGAGGAACGCGATCAAGTCCCTGAAGCAGGCGACTCCCTGCACCACTTGCGGAATGAAGGGCCACTGGTCTGGTGACCCAGAATTTGCTCAAAAAGGAAAAGGTGCGAAGACCACTGCCAAGAAGGTCGTGCCGAAGAAAAAGGGCGTGTTCTATGTGAACCCCGAGCACCCCGAGACGGCCGATGAGCAGTGCTTCGCCGACTCCCGGGTGGCTTCTCACCTTCTACTTCGGCGCAAGCAAGGTCTTCGATGCCAGACGTTGCCGTTTCCAACGCGAGCGAGTTCGCGAATGCCGCCCACCCGACACCTACCAGAACACACTCAAGCTACTGCGGGATGACGAAGTACTTCCGCAGCGCGTGCACACAAGAGGGAGGACGAGTGCCGGCGTGCCGTGAGAACAGGCCGGCGAAAAGACGCAGTTTCTATGCGGAGCTTCTTGGTCCAGGTCGCCATCATGGAGCAGAACAAGGACAAACGAGAAGCGGCCCCGGAGACGAGTTGGACGTGGTCACGGTGCAAGGACTGCGAGGTCATGATGACGAGACCCTGCTTCCCCGGCAAGAAGCAGCAGCACTCAATGGGGAAATGGTAGAAGGAGTCAAGGTGTTGGTGGCGACATGGTGAGCAGCGACGCAAAAGTATACCCGATTGGCATCAAGGGTGTCCGCGGCGAGTGGGAGACAGGCGGCGATCTTCTCTGGAACCGCAGAGGACGAGGGTGCCCTCGGCAACATCGGTCCGGGAGCAGGAGGACAACAACCGCAGCCAGGACAACAGCAAAGGACGGGCACAACAGAGACGCCCCCAGTACCAATGGATGTCAGGACACAGGCGCCCGCGCTAGACCAAGCACTGGGACCATGACCGCGCCCGAACCGCAGCCAACACAACCGCCGTCTTCTACGACTACCACGGCCCTGGCACCATCACCTCCTCCTGCAGGACAACCGATGCCGCTCACACTCCGGAACCCCGACCAGCTTAATGCTTACAACCCGTTGCGCCGAGGAGTTCTTTGTGATGAGCAACCCTACCTTGTCGAAGACTGCCCCACACTACCGGAACGCGCCGCGAGCCTACGTGAACATGGCTATGAAAGCGAGGCAGAAAGCGGCGCAGCGAAGAAGGGCCGAGAAAAGTTTGATGCCTCAATGGGCAAGGAATGTGGGTCATGGCAAAAGTTCAGCGCAGTCGAGGAATTGACCAAGGAGCAGCTTCCCAAGGACGTGAAGATCATTAGGACTCGGTGGGCGCACACCGATAAGAACGAAAAGCCTATAGGCTGTTGTCGCCCTCGACCAGTGCGACGCCATCGAAGGTGCCGACTACCTATTGCTGGACAAGGACAGGTGAAAGCAGGTGAACGCCCCCGTCACGGAGCCCGAGAAGTCTTTGCTCCGTGGCCTTATTGGTCAAATGGGATGGATAACACGGCCAGACTTGGATGGTGAATGTGTCCATGGCCGCCCAGTCTATGGGACACCCACTCGTGAAGGACATCATCAACTTGAACAAGGCCGTGAAGATGCTGAAGGAGACCTCGGATGCTAAGTGGTGTTTCCCAAATTCAGAGATGACCCTGGAGAATGCAGCGGTGTTCTGCTTCGCCGACAGCAGTTTCGCCAACAAGGACGACCTCAAGTCCCAGGCAGGGTACATCATCGGCTTCACCACGCCCGAGATCATCAGCGGGAAGCAAGTGCCCATCCATATCCTTGAGTACCTGAGGGCGATCCTGCTGGAGATCACCCATCCTGGGGTGACCGTGAGGGCGTTGGATCTGTACTACCTGCAGAGCAAGATCGGTGCATCACGGATGCAAAGAGCCTCGAGAGCACCCTGAATAACAAGTCCACCGGACAGCCCGCGGACAAGCGAGTCCGTATCTTGGCCGCTCAGATACAGGAGCGAGTCGGAGAAGAAGACTACAGCGACCAGGCTTCCGCTTTCGCTCACTGGGTGGACACAAGCCAGATGCTGGCGGATGTTCTGACGAAGCTTGGGTGCGAACGAGAGCCGTTGCTCGAGGGCTTGGAAAAAGGCAATGGCAACTGGCGACTGGCGCCGTCTGAGGAGGCTAGCTTGAAGAAGTTGGCGATCCCAGCCGGACGGCAGAGCCGAAAAGCCTTGTCAAAAAGCCAAGGACGGGTGTGAATCTGCCACTGTTGCAGCACCCTGGCCCTAGCAGGACAGTAGGGCAGAAAAGCATGCTCGCCGCAATCGCTGTGGCTTTGTGACAGGGCGCCCTTGTTTTCAGGTAAAAAGCCGGCTTGCTTCGGCAGTGCTAGCTGGTGCTTTTGCAGGAGGTAACATGGTAACATGGCTTAATGCAATCCGTTCAATACTTTTCTGGCTTGGTATTAGAAGTAAACAGCATTTAGAATGACAAGTTGTTACAACACTCAGCAGGATAGTTTTGGTCACAGTCTGGGGCAGTGGCAAGCAAGCACTCATGGCCGCAGCAAGAATAACACCGGTCGTTGCTGGGCATGTTCCCGTTATTATCTGTTTAAGAAACCAATGTAAGAATTTTTGAACGTCGGACACCGCAGGAATCACGACTGCAGCATCAGCTTGGTACGTAAAGTCTTCTTCGTCGTCATCGTCGAAGAAGCCATGGCACAATTCACGGCAATGGGACTCGTAAGAGCAGTGCCTTCGCCCCAGCGGAAGGGCCGTCTTCCAGGTGCTTTCCAAAGCTGGGAGCGCAGAGGACTCCGAAAATCGGCTTTCCGGTCCTTCGAGGGTCAGAGTTTTTGGCATCCTTCAAGGCTGAGCCAAGGAGCCTTGTGTCACGCCGTTTCTAAGAAAGCAAAACAAAAAGACTGTAAACTGAGGGTTTTGGCAAAGGAGCACACCAACATTGGCTCCGATGTTCGTATTGTGCGCGACCACTGTTGCAGTCATTGACTGGTGCTGATTTGGCTTAAGGACGCCACCTCATCCCAAGGATTCGTGGTCGGTTTGCCTGTGCTAAGCTCGGTAGGCTGTTCAAGCAAGGCATTCAAGCAGCCAGCATGACGATGTGCGGAGCATTCCAGTATCTTCCAGTCGCCGACCGAAATTTTGTTTGATGTAAGGACAGGCAGCATTGTGGTGTAGAGTCGCTGGGCCCTAGCCCGATGCCTGCATGTCCGTGGCCCGGCTGTTGCTCTGCTGTTGGGGCATGGCTCGAGGACAGTGGAGTCGTGTGACGGACCTGACGGACGCCGGCCTTGTCCGCCCCGCAGCACGGTCCGAGCATATTGGAGCCTGGGATGAAGCGAGGCAGGTGCTGTTGATCCACGGAGGAAGCAACCTCGACGGCGACTTGTGGGCTTTCGACGCCACATCCGAAGCATGGACCCGGACGGTGACGGCCGTGGCGCCGGCAGCTCGCGCTGCACATGCGGCGGGTTGGGATCCTACCAATCAAGCACTTTGGGTGCATGGCGGGTACAACAGCCAAGCAAAGACTTGGTTCCGCGACGTGTGGAGATTTCAGTCTGGAGCTTGGACGCTCGAGTTTGACGGTGCTGGGCCTTCCGGAAGGCAAGCACACGTGGCTGTTTGGGTGTCGAGCACTTCTTCTCTTTGGGTGCACGGCGGCTGGACCGGCAGTCGCCGCTTGTCAGACTTGTGGAGCTACAATCACCAGGCTCACGGATGGCAGGAGCTGGCTCCCGTTGCAGCAAGCGGAGTGCCACCGGCGCGCTCGCATCATGTTGCGGTGTGGGATGGGACCGGCCAGGCACTCTGGATGCACGGTGGCTACGGTGACTCCTTGCTCGGAGATCTCTGGACTCTGGCTGCTTCCAGCCTCAGTTGGACTGAAGTGGTCTCTGATGGAGGCCCAACCGCAAGGTCAGGCCATGCTGCGGTGTGGGATGACGCCAACCGCAGGCTCTGGCTGCACGGCGGCAACGACGGCTTCCTGAAGCGGGAACTCTGGAGATACGAGACCGGCAGCAACATCTGGAGCCTGGTTGCAGAACATGCAGGTCCTTCAGGACGCTGGTCTCATGCAGCTGCCTGGGATGGCCTCAACCAGGTCATCTACATTCATGGTGGATACAATAGCAGTTTGTGTGGAGACCTCTGGAGGTTCTGGGTCACCACAACGTCCACGACGTCCACCGCAAGTTCCACTTCCACGTCAAGCAGCATCTCAACCACAGGAAGCACTTCCACAACACTGACCAGCAGCACCAGCGCCACAGCGACCAGAACATCCAGCAGCTCGAGCCAAAGTTCCAGCTCAAGCAGCAACTCGCACACAAGTAGTAGCTCCAGCAGCAGCAGTTTCAGCACCACAACTTCCATCAGCAGTACCTCAACCACCGAGACGCGGAGCAGCAGCTCATCAAGCACCTCCACGTCAAGTAGCAGCACAAGCACATCCAGCTCTAGCAGCAGTGCGACCACCACCTGGAGCAGCTCCACCACTCACACATCCAGTTCCAGCAGCACGTCTAGCAGGACCAGTAGTTCCAGCAGCGTCACCAGCAGCTCGATCACATCCTCCAGGAGCACCTCGACAACACTGACATCTAGCACGAGCCTTTCAAGCACCTCCAGCTCAACCAGCAGTAGCAGCACATCCACGAAAAGCACATCCAGTTCCAGCAGCAGTACCAGTGGTTCTACCAGTTCCAGCACGATTTCGCAGACGACCAGCAGCTCTACGAGTGCGAGTACGAGTTCCACGACATCCGTGAGCAGTACTTCAACAAGCGGAACAACTAGCACAAGCATGTCTAGCACATCTAGCTCCGTCAGTAGCACAAGCACGTCTGCTTCCAGCAGCAGCACCAGTCAGAGCAGCAGTTCCAGCAGCAGCAGCAGTACTTCCACAACATCGCTCACCAGCACCTCGACAACTGGGACACGAAGCACGAGCATCTCAACCACCTCCAGCTCATCAACCAGCATGACTAGCACCTTCACTCTCACGTCAAGCACCTCGAGCACAAGGACCTCAAGCAGCACTTCAGCGACGTACACGACGTCCACGGAGACATCAAGCACACAGACTACAGTCACATCTAGCTCTTCCACTGTGACCACAATCACAACCACTACCACGACGCAGCTCGTCATCGCAAGCCCTTTTCCGGAGAGTGTTCTGCTTGCTGTTTTGATTGTTATCCTTCAAGCATGTTGTGCGCTTTGTTTCTCGTACATGCTGTACAGTGCCTGTGTTCTGGTGGCCATTCCATTCGGGTCTCGTGCAGTGCAGCTGTGGGAGCTGCAAACATCCGACCCCCCGGACAGAAAGGGACAGCAATTGCCAGCTCCTGTGTTTCGTGTTCTACCCCCTGGCCACGTGTCGCCTTGCCCGCCTTTGGTGGTGCTTGTCCACTTCCAGGGTGCTTCGCCGGTGACTCCAAGAGTGTGGCTGCTGCCCCCTTCGGCGGCAGCGGCGTGGCCCGCACAAGCCAAGCCCCAGCAGCGCAGGGATTCGCAGCCATCGCCGATGCTCCCGGCAGCCACTGCACTTCGAGGACAGCGATCCAGTGACAGGTTGTCAAGCCATGAAGAAGAGGACCTGTCAAGGCATCCCGCATCGCAAGCAAGAATTCCAAAGGCGCCGGCTCCCAGCTTTGCCAGGTTGGAATCTGGAACGCGCCGCCCTGCTAGTTGCATCTATCGCCGGAGCATAGATTCACTCATTCCCCAGCCCTGCCAGCCCTGCCAGTCGCGAGTGCAGTTGGTGCCCAAGCCACCACTAGGATGGCCGCCGCCGACGCAGGGCGTGCAGAGAAGGCTTTCCGAAGAGCCTGCGAAGCCATGCAACCTGCTCTTAAATCCCGAGCCTCCGGTCATGCGTCAGTGGGTGACAGGGCAGCCTCTGGTCATGGTCCATTCGGCGCAGCGTTTGCCAGCTCGGGAGATCAAGCAGGGACATCCCAGTCCCGGCCCTCCCAGCCCGCCGGCTCTCATTGGACCGAGGGCGAGCCGAAGCGGCCGACGGAGCCAAGCCCCTGGCCCTCCAATTGTCTATGCGCCGCCCAGCGAGCCGCGTGTTCAGCTGGTGCCGAAGTCACGCCTTTCTCTTCAAATGGCCAAAGTGCAATCGATATGGCTCATACCGGAAAGGAGGTTTTCGGATCTGCGAGGATCGACCCTGTCCCCGCGCAGCCGCATGCTCGGGTTGCGCCAGCAAGAGTCATTCCCTGCAGCCCACGACAAGTGCGTATACCGCAAGGCTAGCAAAGGTCCGAAGAGCCCGCGCTCACCGAAGCTTGGATTGGATTGTCAAGTGAGGCAAGTTGTTTTTTTCAGCAGACAGTATATGTACGACCCCGAAAATTAACAACCTGGTCTTCCCCTGTTAAATTAGAATGCACTGTGCCTCGAGTCTATCTCACCACCAGTCTTCGGCACTCGGAGCATCTTGGGGCTTTAATGCTCCGCGCCCAACCGAAGACGGCTAAAGCGAAGATCTGTAAGAAAAGTGGGAAATCCAAAGTTGAACCTGAATGGCATTGGTCACATCAACGCTATCAAGGTGTGGGAGCAGCTAGAAAGTGCAGAGGGCAGACAAACACCCCAACACAAGGATGGGCCGGCGTGCACGGCCACACTCTGCCAGCCCTGCACGGGTCAATGGCGGTCCGGCCTGGGGCGCACTGCAAGGCGCCGCGTGTTGGTCGTTTCTTTGTGATCTCACCGTGCTTTCCAAATCCTTGCCTAGGCATAGGCGTTCACAGAGGCACTGTCTTTTCAGCTGCTGGGGGTACCCACGAGAGAGCTCGAGGCCGACGAAGTTCGACTCATGGACACCCTGGCGATGCGACGCCAGGACCAGGCAGCTATGATCTGGGGCCGGCTCTGGACGTGTGCCTGGGTCGTGGCTTCCTGCTACTGTTGCGAATAGATGTAGTGAAGTGTTATTAATCTGAGTGACACCGATCCCCTTACAAATCTTGCTGGTTGCTCCAGCACTTGTTCTGCCATTGCTACTAAGTGTACCCGTATGATGGACTATTTTTAAATTCTACTTGAGGCCCAAGTAGTCAAAGCCCTGACACTGCCGAAGGAAATCGTTTGAATCACGGCTTTTGCAATCTTGCTGCTGCGTGGAATTTTGGTATTGCCTGTTCGTGCACCATTAGCTGTGCCAATTCGTTCAGCGTTAGTAGCATATGTTGCTGCGAGCCCTGCACTACAGTTATCCATCCACACCCCGCGGCCTGCCTGAACTCCTTGCAACCGAAGCTTAGACGAAAAGTGTTAGTTCATCGTGAATTGACAGCACTAGTGTTGTTGTTGCTGGGTACATTCTTCGTTTGACGCTAGCCGATAGCATTGTCAAGGTACATCCCGCGGCAGGACAGGCACCAGGAGAAGCGCGCCAAGATGGGGCCCTACAAAGACCGTTACAAGTCTCTCTCCAAGGCACGCAGCAAGGGAACGAGCTCCGACCAGAGCCTGGAGGACTCATCCACGCAGTCCTTCATTTGGCCTTTCAACATCCTGGGATGAAGGCTGTTCTTTCTGCGAAGGTGTAGCTAGGATCACGGTGTCATGGAAGGCTCAAGATGAGCCCCGGGCACCAGCTCAGACCAAAGCCGTCTGCAGAATCATTCGCTCATAGACCCCACTTAGCGAATCGGGAAGCGAAACTGGGGAAGCCGGTATTGCGCTTGTGCAGTGCATGCTTCCTCTCTTGTACACATGCAGATGTTGAAGGGGGTGTTACGGAATCGAAGATCTGCTTTGATCTGCTTTGCAGCTTTGAGTTCCAAACGACGCCCGACGTGTGCTCACGAAACCCTGCCCCCAGGACCTGTAGAATCCCAGAGGATCCAGAGGCCGGATCACTGAAATCACCAGTGTCGCTACCGAACGTTTATGAGGGTGCCGATGGAGTGTTGGCACAACCTTACTGAGATCGACATCCTTGTATTGAAGCCTGACCCGCAGCATGTTTTCAGAAGGCGGTAGAACAAAGTGTTAGTTTCCAGAACGAGATAGGCTTGCAGTCGTTCATTGCAGCAGCTGTGCGTCATTGCATCACCTGGCTCTTCCATACTTCAGCTTCCTTCGTCCTCATGCCTGTATGTCAAAATTGCTGCTCTTCTGCTGCTGTTGGGGCATGGCTCGAGGACAGTGGAGTCGTGTGACGGATCTGACGGACGCCGGCCTTGTCCGCCCCGCAGCACGGTCCGAGCATATTGGAGCCTGGGATGAAGCGAGGCAGGTGCTG